TTTTTAGATTACCAGTAGATCCTTAGGAGATGGCAGGGACACTTTCCAGAGAAATTCCATCTTTTGTAGGATCTGCCCTTAAAATGTTTTCAACGTGACAAAAGTCTGTTTGAATTCAAATATTTTATTTCATAATTCATAACATTCCTATTGCGACATCAACATTATAATAATTTAAAAATAATAACAATACAACTTACAATAGCTGTACAAAATAAGAACCAAACCGTAAAAAATAATTACAATATATGTAATCAGATTGTGTATTCTATTATTTTGAACTTTCATCAAAATTTTTATAGTTTAGATTTAGAGTGCACTGATATTTTCATATATTTTACTGAAATTTACATTCATTTCATATCTTATTAATTTTCTTCTACARTTAAGCCATGCTTGCAAACTTTAGCAATGTTTGCATAAAGAAAGTTGTCTGCTGTYTAACTAGCTCAAACATTTATTTCTTCAATAGTAATCTTATGCTCAGTCTTCAGCCGTCTAGAATTCATATGCATCCATGATACGTRATCTCAACGGCTGAATACTGAGCCTATAGTATTCTCAGATTTATTAAGKTTATCACCAAAGACTTGCTTTTGGGAAGTAACATTTGATAGCCTACTTCTTTWTCTGAAGGGCGTGTATAGSAATAGAGTGCTTACACTATGACCATGAAATAAAATCTAAATAGTTACTAYCTAATAGTTCTTATTTAGTGACTATTAGTCACTATCATTCAACTGGAACAGTCTTAGTAWCAACACATTCCGTACACTTGAGAATCCAAAGGAAACGATACATTATAACTGTTCCAGTTGAGTGATAGCAATAGTCACTAAATAAGAACTATTAGATAGTAACTATTTAGATTTTATTTCATGGACATAGTGTAAGCACTCTATTATCTGCCTTGATATAACAGACATTTACATTCTTAGGAAGCAGAAATAGATGCCAAGAAATCCAGTGCTTTGTCTCTGTCATTGTCGGCAGCTCGTAAGGCTTCGTGAATATGCAACTCTTCAAATCCAAGTTCTTTAAAAGTTTTTGTCAGATTAAGAAATTCTAAAGCCTACAAAACAAAAACAAAAAATGAAATAAATCATAACAATAGACCACAGTAGACATCACTTTTATATCCCAAAGATATGTTTTTTCAAAAAGATGGAGTCTGGATTCAACTGGAATTTCTGTGCCTACGGGTGCAATCTTGGTATCCCTTATTTTGTATTATGGATGACAAGCTTTCCATAAGTTGTTTGCATTTTTATTATGTTTGAAGTTATTATGTAAGCATCAGTAAGTACCTTCTTAGCATCGTCATTGTTAAAAGTCAAAGCAATTTCAGCCTCATCTCCTGTAAAGCCTTTCTGGCAGAGTTCTTCAGCAGCAACTAAAAAATCTACTACCTGAACACAAAGAAAACAAATTACAGTTGAATCTCTCATTAATACACTCCCTTTGGAAAGAAAAAGTGCCCATTGGTAGAGCTGTCCACCTCATGAGCGTGTGAATACAGTGTCTATATGGAAGGAAACTAAGCGAAAGCCCTCMATATAAATTTAGAGCTTTCTACTCACAAGAGCATCTGCAAGAGGAGATTTGACTGTATATTGTAAGAGAACTGAGCACTAATAATAACAAATTACTAATAATGAATTACTAAATAAATAATTAATCCATTCACAGTTTATTACCTCTCTATCTTTTTCRCCAAGTCTTTGAACAGCACGTGCAACTCTAGGAATGGGAAAACCCATTGCAGCAATATATTGAACTAAACCTTTTTCTGAATCATTCAACACAGGCATAGGGTCTGCTAACACAGACTGCTGAGCTGGTGGTAAAGGTATTACTGAACTGACCATATTTGGTGAAGCACTTGGTGGAGTTATAGGTGGCAGAGGTGTGGAATGGCGCCTTATGTTATCCTGAAATGAAAATGTCATTATTGAAGTTTGTGTTTCATCCTTTTCAATCTTATTATTACTCTTGGGCTTCCTGTCTTCTTCATGCAACCAAGAGAGACTGTGACACAGCTTCATTTTCTCCTTAGCTAATCACAAATCCCCCCTGATTGGTTAAGAGGACACCACAGGGATCCCAAAAATGAAAAGGTTGCAGTCATCATTGGTGGCAATTCTAAAAGGTGGGTTAAAAGACTGTCAAATCCAATTCTCACCAAGCTTGATTTGCTTCGTTTCTGTGCAGGCTGCCTTCTAAKCACTGACTGATTAGTTGATGAATTCATTTCACTATTATGTGTCTGTGTGTCCACATGAATGAATGAAAAATAAAGAAAATGGGTAAACAAAAAGTAAAATAAATAACAAAAATAAGTATCAAAATACTGAAAAACTAAAAAASCCCACCAAAATCAATTTTCCACATAAACAATCAAATAGAACAAATTATCAAAGCCACAAACAAATAAACGAATGAATGAAAGTGAACAAATGGAACTTTCCATCTTCTCCACTAAAATTTTCTTAAATACTTTTCAATATACCATAACGACCATACAAAATCCAGGAAATGACCTCACCATATAACTTCCAGGGTTTCTTGGTGTGTCTTGACTACATGTCGCTGGAGTAGTTAAAGGTGCACTTGAMGGTACACCATCTGTAACAGTCATACCTTGAAAACTAGTAGCAATACTTTCAACATTGTTTATATTCCTACGACCAGTYRGTCTAGGTGGAATCGGAGGAGCCTTACGYAAAGGTGGAAGTCTRTTATTAGAGGAGGTAACAGATGCAGTTGTTCCCACCAAAGGATTTGATATTTGTGTATTATTAGACGATGATGACCTTAAATTCAGTGGAGTAATGCTTTCTGTTATGGGTGTAGCACCATGTGAATTGACATCAACCAAAACTTGACCACTTGTTGGTCGATTTGTTGGCAAACCACGCCCTGGCAAACCCCCTTGTAAGTAATTAAATGGCTGTGTCGGCATTCCATAGCCCAATGATACACCAGTGTTAGGTTGCGAAGGTGTATACATAGATGATGGAGGGGACACACTTCTTGATGTYGAAGCTGCTACATCTGGAACAAGCTGCATGTGATTTTCATCACTTGATATGTCTACCAACTGATCATTGCTGAGATCAGGAACAGATTTTGATTTTGAGTTTAGTTTAGAATGATTTCCCTGACTTGTGCTAGGAATAGGAGTTTGATTTGATAAATAACTAMATGAATTTGAGGAGTTTGAAGGATATGTCATTGAACCCATGGTAGAGATTGATGTTACATTAGTAGAAGCACCAGCAGAYGCAACAGCTATTGATCCACWGGTATCYTTTGAGTTTGATACAGGCTCAAGGACACTTTTCAGTACATCCAAATCATTAATAGTTTGCAGTTCAACAAGCTCAAAAGGATTAGTGCCATTAGCCTCAAAGTCTGATAAGTCAAAAGTATTTTTCCCAAGACTATCATTTCTTTTATGTCCAGTTGATGACACAGCGATAGGTTGTAAAATATCTGTGCCTACATTGGAGAATATGGAAATAGGAGTTGTGGTGCTCACTGATGCATCGTTTTCATTAACTTGCTTTTGTGTTTTTAATGCAGCAGCAGCTGCTTCTTCTTCTTCTTTTTTCTTTAATAACTGCAGTTGTCGTTCCTTTTCCTGATCTGCCTTAGCAATGATTTTATTCTCTAAGCTGAAGTCATACTAAAATTGTAAAAACAGAAACATCTGCTTAGAAAGCTATGACTGAATAAATCAAACTCAAATCTCAGTATTCTTTATGTTTCAGTTGCTAATATAAATAATATAAAAAATATAGTCAGCCAAGATAAGCTCCTATCAAAATTTAAAATAGCAACAGCTTCATCATTTACAGCTGTAGTTTTGCTCTCCAACCAATCTTTTTAATGCAATAAGTAGATTATGGGAWGAAAGGGAAAATTAAATAACAGATTAGAAAATTAAAAAAAAATGGTTAGCATTTACAGTATAATGAAAGTTACTACAAAAATACAGGGTTTTCAGTAGATATTTATAAAAACAAAATAGAAGATTTGACAGCTGAATGCAACTTGATGTTTGAATTCCTGTCATAATTTGTACATAARATTCATAATATAACCTACCGAAAGGCTGAGAAGATCCGAGGGATCATTAGGATGAAAACCAACCGGTAATGTAATCTATTGGGAGGCAAGATAAACGAGCAATATATTAATTTTGATTTGAACAGAAGAAGAGTCCTTTCGCCTGTTCACCTGACTGTAGCTGATACAAAAATGTAAAATCGATAAATTTGCTATTTATGMAAAAATAAAGAGCTATATACGCCTTATAGAGACGATTCTACCTTTCTCGGTGGCCTGAATTTCTCCCCTACTTTTACTTCAACTCCTTCTAAGGCTCCCAATTCACTGTAATCTAAAATAGAAGAAGGATGGATATTGTAGACATTGCCCAAGAAAAAGGAATCCAATGCAGCTTCATTTAAGCTTATAATATCGATACTCACGGCTCCCACATTTACGAAACGTCTTGTGAGAATATGCCATTAGTTGTTTAATGGTCCGACAGAAGTAAAGTAGTAGAGAAGTAGAGGGTGTAAGCTACTTAAAATAGTGCGTTTAAAGCAGAAATTGCTTATTCACTCCGTTTCATGTCGTCCATTTTGTATTGGTCAATGATGTCATCTAGTTACCATGCCTCCGGTCGCGGTTTTTGTCGCCGGGAACTTTTTCGGTTCATCCCACACGGACCACACGGGCGACCCTTGGCCATTGCCCCATCTAAATACTAACATTTTCGTTCAGGTATTTTACGGAAAACAATCGTCGCGTTTATAACCGTGTCCAGGCTGGAGGCCTGCAGCACGCTCATAAAATGTAGCGACTTTCTTTCTTTTCACGTCAGGATCGCATCCCAGCCTCCTCGACTCGAGCACCGGTCTGAAAAATTYTTTCTTTTAATTTTCTGTCCTTTTGTTACTGAAATATACTTGTTCCAGTCATGTTTATTTTTTCCTGTAAATTAGCAATTATCAATGACTCAGGTACAGGCCGCATGACATCCTATGGCAACAGATGGCAGAGTATATGGTGTTATTACAGGATGGAAGAGCATGGTCAGCAATAGCAGCTATATGATATGACACAAAGTGGCATTAGATACAGGTATAGTATAACAATACTAGAATGGCAACAGATGGTACAGCAGATGATAGAGAACGGCATCTGGTAGTATGGGCAATAGCTGAACAATGGCAACCAATATGGAAAGTGGTATATATCTGGCTCCAAAGGTCCTTAATGAAAATMACAGTATGTGGTATCACCTGCCTTGTACAGCCACTCTATGGTCCTACTTCAGCCACTAAGTTCCTGGATGAGACCAAACTGCGAGACAATGAATGCGAACAAGATTCTGAAAAATTACATGTTGATGAAGATGCTAAAGTTGCATTATTGGATACCTGAAAACCTGAGGCAGATGATGTTTAGGCAAKAATATATTGGCATTTGAACAATAAAGAGATTGGAAGACATGACGTATGAAACGCAGCAAAGAAGAATCTTTATACAATGGTTTACAAGAGAAAGTGGTTCTCAGCAAGATGACTTTACCTTAATTAATTCCCTCAAGGTAACATCACTGCATAGTGAGGGATAACACGTTCCCCTTTTTTTCCACTCACTGGGAGTGTTTTTTTGGGGTTTTCGTGTCTGGCAGTGATGTGACAAGAGATGACATCAAGATATTTGATTCTTTAGACTATACCTTTCAGTCTTTCTAGATTATTTTGTAAAATAATTATTAGTGACAGATGTTTCCTGATAAACTAATGAAGCCACAGGTTTACACCTATTTATTGCAGTCAGTGGATTCTTATTTTCTCTAAGTGGAAAGGGATGGCTGTAAGGGGAGGTTGGAGGCCATCTGTAATCCACACTGACGACTGCACTATTCATTAGTGATGTTAGATAGACTATAATAATTACAAATGGATTAGGAGCATAGCTAGGCAGATGGATTTGGGCAACATCAAATGTACCAATGGCAAAGCTGAGCTGCTTTAATCAACTCTCAAAACTCAATCAACTTCAAAATATCTTGCTCTATCTATACTGATTTCTGCATGTGATTGAATCCAGTGATTATTCTCTATTCTAATTACTCTGTAAATCAATTTCTTGGAGTGGAAAGGGATGGCTATAAGGGGAGGTTTGGAGGCCATCAGCTGTAATCCATTGTACTCCAATGGATCACATTTACCATTTGTTTGTCATGATACCAACAGGAAATATGTGAACTGAATATTGTGTTGACCAGATATAGCTTTAACTGGATCAACAGGATTCAGTGCATATAAATTCAAATTGGTGAACTGGACAGGAAATGCTGGAGCATGCATGGGAAATATGCCATTGCCTGGAAATGGTCCTGATAAGAAATGGTATTAAGATATCTGGAAATGGTAGTTTTGATACTKTTTATCTAGTAAGTGAATATAGGTACCAGTCAGAATATAATTCCATCAAAACAAATCACTAAGAMGCACCGACTCCAACCCACCACCCAATCTAGTTGGTGTAAAAGAGCACACTTGGCATCTACTTGTGTAGTTGTCAGGAGGACTGGGTGCAATTCCCAGATTAGATTAAACTAAAGGGTTAGTGTCYGTCAACTTGTGATGTGAATATATTACTAATAAACCTGCAAGCTTTACATAAGAATTGCATACGCTACGACGTTCTCTGTTGGTAATAAAAATGATAAGAAAAAGTTTGATAGTTTTTAATGCTTATTGAACATATCAATAAAATCCATAGCTGTAACTGACACGAGGACGTTTATTTCGTTTATTTAAAATATTCTGTTTTATCTATTCATTTGATAATAAATAAATTCATTTGGAGATAGTCATTTGATTGGGTTTTTCGAGTCACGCAAAACATTTGAATGGCTTTCCGAAAAGCAACCAATCAAATGCAAGATCTAAAACCGCGCGCTTTCTCTGGGAATTGAACGCGCGCGCGTTGACGAAATTTGAGATGTGCTTTGATCGATTTTTGAAAAACAGACTGAAAAACATTATAAATGGCAACACTATGCTTACTGTGTGGGAAAAATTACAAAGACCCCAGAGTACTGCCTTGCTTGCATTCTTTCTGTTTGCAGTGCATATCTGGTCTTTTTGATACTGAAAAAAGCGACCAATTAACGCCGCCTCTGTTTTGCCCAGCATGCAACTACAAACTCAACGTAAGCYTCAGAAATGGTTTTTATAAAGCTGTCTTCACACTAACTAATAATTAGTTCGTATTTCCTAGATTACACGAAATGAAGTCCAAAAATTACCAGAGAATTTTGGAGTTACAAATCTTCAACCAATTTTGAAACTGCTCCCCAATGGCGCCCAAAATAAGTCAAAGAARCTGGAATGCGAGAACTGTCAAGCGAAGAAAACTATTGCAGTTAGCCGATGCAACGACTGCTGTGTTTTTATGTGTAGTTCTTGTGCTGAAGCACACAAAAGAATCCAAGCTTTGCAGTCACATTCTGTCATTGCGATCGAAGCCATCAAGAGTGCAGACCCAAGAGATCTTGCAAAGCAACTTTTCTGTCAAACACACGAAGACGAGCCTTTGAAGCTATTCTGTGAAACCTGTAGCATCCCTGTTTGCCGTGAATGCACAGGTTTCGACCACAAAGACCATAATTACTGTAAAATTGACCAAGTCATCACCAAAGAGAAGAGAGATATTGCATTTTCTATCAACGACGCAAGTTTTAAGATACCTGTGTTAGAAAAAACATTGTTTGCTGTCAAAAACATGCAGATCAGAGTGAAGAAGAAATCTATAAGTGTGGAAAAAGATGTCGATGCATTCATTGACACTCAGATAAGAATTCTTCAGCAAATACGTTCAGAGTTGAAAACCGGAGTCGGTACGGTTACAAAAGCAAAGCTYCACAAACTCAAATACCAAGAGGATCACCTCTCACAACATCTAGAGAATCTCCAAACTGGAGTCCAATTCGCTAGGCAGTGCGTATCCAATGGAAGTGACTGCGAAGTTTTGACTGTAAAGAAGCAAATTGTAGCACGTCTAACAGCCCTGTCAAACAAGCCATTTGACTCTGACCCGTGTCAAGACGATGTGTTGGCTTTAAGAGTAAATACAAAGAAAACAGTACGGGAYATGATACCAGAGCTTGCATGGATTGATAGCAGCACTGCCATGGCCTCCTTGTGTTCACTGCAGGTTRTAGGCGGCGAGCCTAACATGGTTTACACCACCTTCTGTAACCAGGGGTGTGAGTTTGTCATCACACTTCGCAATCACTTTGGACAACGCCTTAGGCATGGTGACAGCAGCGTWCATGCTGCCATCACAGAGTGTCCAGCTGCTCAAGAAGAGGTCTGGGGAACCAACATGAAATTCCTGGAAATCATTGACAACGAYGATGGAACATATAACATGGCATATGTACCTTTTTACTCTGGTAAATATAAAATCTCTGTTGCTGTTGATAGGTGCCATATTAAGGGCAGTCCCTTTTGTTGGTATGTAAGTCAGAAATTAGAGAGAATTAGTATGCATAAGCTTGACTTATTAACCAATGGAAACGACATGATCCAAGGCAGTTCTACAACACTTGATGAAGTTGTCATAGATGGCTGGTACTGCTTCTCTTGGAGRGTCAAATTTCGCACTCGAGAACCRTCATCATCTCCTTTAATTGCATCTGCAACAACTGCAGGTCCAATCTGCAGATGCTCTTCTCGCTCTAGCTCAAAATCCTTGCCATTATCTCTTTYTTCTAAGTCATCATTCTTCTCTGGGTGTAAAATTGGYGTAAGAAAAGCTGAAGCAAGTGGATCAAGTAGTGAAACAACAATTGCATCTAGCTGTGAGAACTCTCCATCTAGTACTGGTTCCCTGGGCGATGACACTTGKAAGGAKGTTAATGAAGGAATATGGTTCTGGTGCGATGGGTTTTGTTACAGTCCATCAGATCCAACAGGTTCACCCAGCAATATCACCTCTTATGAAGACGGTGACATCTTTGTCTTGTTTCTCAACCCAATCAAGAAAACATTGATTATCTATAACAGAGAAAGTGCTCAAARGGACTTTTTTGAGGGACTGGAGTTTCCAGTTCGCCCTCTCTTAAAAGGTTAATATAATATTGWCAATTATAATTTTTGAAAGCCCTATTTTAAATTCATCAATGCAAATAAGAGATTGCAATCACTAATATAGTACTCATTTTAGCCCACTCCTGTATTGTTAAAAAAATTTACCATCTGTTTYTMSTTCCAGGTGGGTTAAAATTKGGCGGACCACTGCATAAAAGCTTAGTTATCATTGCAATAGTGCAGATTCTGATAAGTTGACTCTGATTGTACAGTATTTAATTTCAATATGGTTCTGTGATTGTGATGATTTCTAAAGTATTTTAAAATGCTTTCACAACTGTGTTTCTATACCATTAGAAGTGCTAATCAATTCTTTTTAGAAATACCTATAGACACAAAAATAATACATTATATGCTATTATATAACACTAAAAAATGCTTATTTCTTTAAACTTGCTATGTTTGACACTGCTAAATAAATGTGATGACATATATATCAATTTTTTTTAGAAACATATAGACACAAAAATAATACATGATATGCTATATATAACACTAAAAAATGCTTATTTCTTTAAACTTGCTGTTTGACACTGCTAAATAAATGTGATGACATATATATCATGCTTCAAGATATTGCATTCAGCACATTTATATTTAGAATCAATAGATATTTTGATAGGTTGACTTCCATGATATGTGGAATTATCAAGCATATGTTCCTCGATTCACTTTCATATAGCTTTGCACGTCTCTTTTATTGGATGTACCAAACCATCCGCATGAGATCACTATGCCAGTTATCTTAAAATAAAATAATAGTAAGTCACTCAATGAGAATGTGTTGACATCCCTGTCAATCAATCTTGAAATCTGATTGTCTAGCTTTCTTGTAGAATGATCTTGGCAGTGCCCATTGCACTGCAATTACTGATTGCAGATGCTATTTTTGAAATATGATTATGTTTTTGCATTTATATGTAAATACCTGTATAAAAGCCAAACCAAAGCAAAATGCAAAGGAATATTTCAAGTAGTTTTTTAGCTTTTGAATGACGAGATCTGAACAACCCTGAAAATAATACATTATCAATCAATCAATCAATCAATCAATCAATCAATCAATCAATCAATCAATCAATCAATCAATCAATCAATCAATCAATCAATCAATCAAATATGCTGTCAGTTAATGATTTATCTTCAGGAACAAAGAAAAACTAAAATTCATACATGTACTTTGACAAATCGTCATCATTATATTTAATTTATCGAACTACTCAGAAAAAAATATTAGAGAAAGCTTTTCCAAACAAGACTGGATTTTATGTACCTTTGTATAGAAGTTACCAATGTCCAGCTTACAAATCTCAGATTTTGTAACACAACAAGAATGTGGTAACAGATGTGTCTCAGTTCTATTTTCTTTATCTTCATATTCCAGCAACCAGTATGTTGAATTGATCCAATCTGAGGCATTGACAGCACCACAGCACTGATGCTAAAAGAAGTGGAAAAAACAACTGTTGAGTTTACTGCCCAGAATCTATAGTACAATATGTAAAAATAAATTTATAATTCATCAGTAATTGGCAGATCCAGGATTTTCTGGGACTCATTCCAAGTCTCTGTTCACACAGGGCTGTTCCTGTTCATAAGCTTTCAAGTTTTTGGTTAGTATGAGCATATAAGTTCATATGGGACCTCTGGAAATGAGAACTGTCAACAGAAAGAACTGAGCAAAGTCAGAAAGAAATGTCCTAAAACCAAGGTGCTCTCAACCTACCAGGCCCCATATAAGTTACATAGTCTAAGATCATAATTTACTGACCTTATTTTGCAGAAGATCTAGAGCGCTGTCTGAATGTGTTCCAGTGTCATTGTACTTGTCTATGGCTTTATAAATTGATTTGTTTACATCATCCCTTACCTAGAATAACAGCAGAGTGAGCTGAAAGTTCAATACTATGGATTGTGGAAAGAAACTCACCTGAAGACTGGATACTAAACCAATAATTCCTCCTGACAACATTACTATCAGAGCAAGAATTGTTAACACACTGAACTAGAATGGAAATGAGAAAAGGAATTAGAATGAAACAGGAATAAGAGTTCCTTGTCCAAAATTACAAAAA